ATGGTTCCAGATTTTTTCAAGCTTCTGACAAAGACCATTGGTTCCTGCCTACTCCAAAGCACTGGGTGGGGCATATTTTTCTTTGCATAGCTTTTTTGCAGGGGTGGCCTAAACCCATCTAAAGAGCAAATTTTAATGGCTCGGGAGTCTCACCTTTCTAGTTCTCTGCTCTCTTGCTTTGTGATGGTTGGACCAGGGTACAGCTTAGCAGTTCCCTGCTTCAGCTTGCAAGGCTGACTTCCTGAAAGACATCCCCAAGGAGATGCCAAATGAACCTATCCCGATGCAGCCTTGGGTGCTTGAGCAGCCATGTGGAGAACCCTGCCAGCGCTGAGATGCTTACACATTCACTGATTCAGCTTTCCTCCGGAAGTCAGTGTCATAGTGTGTGTTTTGTGAGATGGGGGAGGATTTTGTGGATTGGTGTTGAACATATGGGTTAATGTTGGACTTGTGGGCTTGGGCAGCACTGGGTTTTGTGAGATGGGGGAGGATTTTGTGGATTGGTGTTGAACATATGGGTTAATGTTGGACTTGTGGGCTTGGGCAGCACTGGGTTGGAATGTTTCCTTGATGCGCACTTAACCTTTTTATAAAACTCTCTCTTATACATGAGTTTCTGTGGATTTGTTTCTCTAAAGTACCCTGGCACAAGTAGATACAGAGGTAGACATTCAAGCCGAACAGATGTGGAAGATGAGTAGGAATACAACCACAGTAAAATCCACACGTTTGGCAGAAGACATTTCTATGCATGGATATTTCTGCACATGTGCTGCAAATACAGCCGAGGATGTGGTAGAGCATGCAGAGGATAAAGTTTTAAAAACGACTTAACCATACCTTTGAGATGATTAGTCATTGCAGTGAAGGGTTTAGGATTACTGTCTTGGCGGTCATCCAAACCAATTGAGGTAATGTAGTCCATGAAGACAACGATCTGCATTCTACTAGGGTAAGAGATGACTGGGGTCTTACAAGCTTGTGAATGGCCATCAAAGATGCAACTGTTGGGCTCTCCCTACCTAAGCAAAGACAATTAGAGATTCCAGGAAATG